TCTTTCAATCCTTGTTCCAATTCATCTATATCCAAGTCATCCCAGTACGCAGAATCTTTATTCTTGAAATCATTAAATTCTTCAATGAAGTTCTCTGCTTCGTACTGGGCATGAACTCGAAGGGATAGAGTTGGTTTAAAGATTGTGTGGTAGCCATAGAGGTCCGATGCCAGTGGAGAAGTAATGGAAGTTGGTCTAAAAGCATGTGAAGCTCTGCTTGGGCGAGAGGATTGAGGACGTGACCCCGAGTCAGAATATCACAAGCCTATCGAAGGTTCTTGAGAAGGACTTCGTCCTCAAGAACATTGAATGGCAAGTGAGAGAAAGCCGCGAGCAGAAGTTGAGCTTGCTTCCGCTCAGCTGGAGTAAGGGAAAGTGAAGGCTTGTAAGGTGGAAAGATCTTATCTGCGGAGAGGGCAAGCCTCAATCTCTCTGCCCAGCAAGGATTTGGCGGAGGGGAAGGTGTGGATGTTTATATTTCAAGAGATGGAACAAGGACAGAAGGAACAAGGGCATTAATATAATCGAGCCAGTCAGAAGAACAAATCTTCGCCTTCTGGGCTAAGAATGATGGATTATACCCTTGTGCCTCTTCTAGGCGTCGGGCGGCGTGCACTATCTTTGTAGGTATGGAGGATGTATACCATGCCACAAGCAGATTCTCTTCCAAACTACATCGATGGTCAATGGGCACATAGGGATAGACCACCGAGCTTCGCGCATAAGAAGGGAACTCTAAAGGGTCAGTAAATTTGACAAAGTGATGGTTGATTCGTTCCCTCAAATCACGAGCCTCAGGTTTTGACCAGCTTGTCTAGTCAGAAGCCCCAGAAGAGGAAGAAGTTGCAGCCTTGTCCCATATAGAGGTTTGTGAAGAAGAACTTCCCATGTCCATATTTGCAACTTTCTGAATCAAAGGATTGAGAGCAGTTTGTTCGTAGTCCAAGGGTGAGTCAAAAGAAGAACTTCCCATGAACATATTTGTGAGTTTCTGAATCGAAGGATTAAGGGCAATATGTTCGAAGTCGAAGGGTTGATAATTTGTAAAGGCATCCATGACCTGAATATAGAAAGGTGGGTAAGGATGGCTAATTAATGCATAGAGGTCCTTTCGAGAAAGAACATCATCATCATATGACTCTTCGTGTGTGTGATCAATGGAGGGAAAAATTAATTCGACCATAAAAAATGTATCAGTCTGTTCGAATACTAAGGTGGTGGGGGTGTTCAAAATATTGAAGGAGAGTTTAATGTAGATGATGAATGACATTTGCATTTCTGAGAGAATGCAAAACTCATGCACGTTCTAAGACGTGGGAAAGAGACCTTAATCCACTAATATCACCAAGTATTGGGTATATTAGTGCGGGGGGTAATGTTGGCTACATATTTTGTACAAGCCAATTACAATTCGACGCGTGGCAAAATAAGGATAATATAGAGAGACTATTCAAGTCTTCGATCCTGATCGTACACGTGGAAATTAGAATTGGTTATTACGAGATCTGAGTAGCAGTGGATCAACAAAGAGATGCAAGGTGATGTGGCTTCAACAGTTACTCACATTTCAAATTTAAATTTAGGAGGGAAGCCTAATTGCAAGTAATGGCGTAATAGAGCTAATCTTGAGGCAACATGATTAGCGATCATGGAGGAGTAGTTCGACGGTTAGAAATGCAGTTCGATGGTCATCCTTGAGTAGTATAAATAGCAGAGAAGGCCCCAGAAAAAGCTCCCAGACTCAGATTCAAAAAACTAGTCTTGTTATACTTATTTCATTTTACATTTTCTGTACTTTAAATTCGTGCATTGCACTTCGTTCATAGGAGTAGTTTCAAATAGATTGTTGCTGTAAACCTCTACGAGGCTGAGTTTGAATCATTATAAGTTTTTTCATGTTAATGAAATATTTCAACTGTTCTTCATTTAATTGTTATTTTGCTTAATTCTCCTAAATCAAGCCACCAGTAAAAGTCCTCTTCATTGAGGCTGAAAGAACTAAAACACAATCGTCTGATAATTGGTTGGCAATTAATTTTCTGTAAGGACTGATTGATCCTTGCTGGCACGCTCGTAATTACAATAATAACCTTCGAAAGCCAAAAAGCAAACAATAATAAAATATATTATATATTTTATCTAACTAATTAATCTTTTTTTTCCAGTAGGAATTACTAAACCCCTTCCTTAAAAAAAAAGGCTTCTATTTCACTACATTCACATAAAATATTATTATCTACAAGAAATATTCTTTACATCTCTCTCTCTCTCTCTCTCAAATGGTGATTATTAAAATTTCATTTGGTGTTTAAAACTTTTTTTTTTTGTTTTTTTGCCTTTTATTCAAACTTAATCTCTATGTCCATTCGGCCTCTGTTAACAATAGATCAGGCCCATATGTGACGATAACCATGGATGCCTCCTTCAATTTCTAAGGTAACTACATATAGTTGTTGGCCTCAATGTTAGGTATGAGATTTTTTGCATATTTGTTATTTCTAAGATATATAATACGTCAATGTGCCATATATTATTAAAAGTTTGTGATTGATTATAACTCTATCAAATAGATTATAAATAAAAATTTTTTAAAAAAAGAATTGTATCATTTATTCATTTTATATATGTAGTTTTTAAAAATCAATAATTATATTTTTCATAATTTTCATTTTCAATTTGATTTAGTAACTATTTAATATATCAATTGGTGTGTTTCTTAGGTGTAATGTATACAAGTGACATAAAATTAGTGTGTTTTCTAGAGAGAAAAAAAAAACGATCTAAGAGACTTTAAGAATTTCAAAACATTAATATAAAACTTTTAATTTTAACAGTTAAGAAAAACAAGTGATATAAAATTATTGGCAGATTTAACTGTATCAATAATTTCAGGACTAATTACAATAACAGTCCTATAGTTTGGGACTCGTATCACTTTGGTTCCACTACAAAAAATTCAGGTTTTTGCGACGGCAAAATGTCGTCGCTAATACTCCTAATGCCGTCTCAAAAAACTTTTAGTGACGACAAATGACTTTTGGTGAAGGCAAAGGGAGGGGTCACAACAAAGGGCGTTGCAAAAAAAATTTAGCGACGACATCATGCCGTTATCCTTTTCTTGCGATGGCAATTGTTCCTTTTTGCAACGGCACTTTACTGTCGCCAATAATATGTAAAAAAATGAGAACTTTTGCAACGATACTGTTTTACCATCACTAAAAGTCTTATTTGAGATGGCAAGTAATGCAGTCGCGAATTGTGTTTTTTTTTTTTTTTTTTTTTTTTTTTTTGGCCAAGTTTCATGTTACTCCGACGCCATTGGTGATTTTGAGCTTACCGTAACATCTCGAATTTTAAGTTTCTTAAGAAACTAGTTTGTCTAGTGTGAAATCCGCCTCTAACTCCCAAACCGAACCCATTCGAGTCTCTCTTCTCCCACAAGTCTCTCGTGCCTAGACAGGTCGTGTGTGCCATATTTTGTGCTAATCCAACGCCGTTGATGATTTTGGAAGCGTCAATACCTCGAATTCTAAGTTTACTCATATCTGTCCAGAACAAAAGCAACTTGTTGGTACCTTCCTTCTATATGTTTACTTTTTCTTTATGCTTACTGTGACAACCCTCACCACTGATTACTGTTAAACTCTGGACTAAACATAATAAAAGCAACTGATTAGATGAAATCCTAAACTGATTGCATGAATGTGTTATGTTAATGCATTTCTATCTGTTTGTCATTGATTTATCTTGTCATGTTTTAGTTTCGCCACTGTAAATTGAAGGCCTTATCGGCGCGAATCTGAACTTGATTAGTGTTTTGTGTTAATTAGAATAAAATGTGTTTTATGGTATGTTTAATTGAAATTTGAATTGGAATGATTAACTTGATTAATTAGTGTTGAACTACATTAGTTGCGGTTAATTTACCCTTTTGTCATTATTAGTGGCCACCTTGTCAATACTTGTTTGGACTTTGATTAATACACATTTGGCATTGTATCTTCTGCCATCTGAGCCCGACCGACTGAGAGAGAGAGAGTTTAGGAGAGCTTGGTTTCTTAAAATATTTCTTGAAAATTTAGAGGAATTGAAGAAGATTGCATAATTGAGCTTTCCCTTTTTTGAATTGAGCGACATAAGGTAGGATATTTCTCTTGATTATGGAATTCTAGTTGTACCTTGCGATGGTTATGAGTCTTTAGTGATCTAGTCTAGAATTAGTTCTAACATGTGGAATTGAAGCTTAAATTATGCATGCCATGTATACATTGTTGAATTTTGAGGCGTTGGTTTTTCTTAGAATTCATCACAGTACATGTCCATATTTGGGTTATAGTCATGAATTCATCATGTTTTGGAGCGAATTGACTCATTTGATCATGGCATTGGAAGCTTTGAAGTGATTAAATTTCGTGCATGTTGCCAGTTCATCATGTTTTCATTGAATGTTTATTTGAAGAATGGGGTTCAATGAAACTACCTTTTGGGCTTTGATTTTTGCAAATGATCTTTTGAAACATGTCATATATGAGTTTAAGTGGTTTTCCAGAAAATTAGCCCAAAAAGGATCGAGATTGATGCTTTAAATGTTGAGTTTTCATGCTTGGAGACAAATCTGGAAATTTCAGATTTTGGATCCACGGCTCGAGCATTACACTCTGAAGATCATGCAGTCGCTCGAGCGAGTAAAGTTTGACGCTCAGAGCGTGAAATGCGTGTATTCGCACTTTGCATG